AGGAGATCGGGCTGAAACTATAGCTACAAGCTATCCAAGGATGGTACTATAGAATGTCACCTCAAGGTAGGCCTAGTGGCGTCATCTCTTGGTTAGGCCGGAAACTTATCAATCCACCCTCGTATATCCTGCATATATTTTACGCGGGAACAAATGAAGCTCTTTTTCACCAAAATTGATAGCTTCTCACGACGTGCGTAAAGTGAAATGCCGCGTTCGTTTTAGATTGTTTTGAAAAATACCTCCCAATTCCAAATGGAATTAATTAAATTGCAGAATAACAAATTAGAAATTAATAGCTAACGTAAGACAAAATCATTTCTTGATGATAATACTAATCCAACGGTTAACAACTCTAGATTCTGTACACAACAACGTATGTTTGAGGTTTGAGCGCCACCCCTATTTTTTGTTATAGGAAGGAACATGTTTTTTCTTGATATCGATAAAGATTTTCAATAATATCTGGACTCCACCTAAAACTAATTGCCGACCCTGTTTAATTTATTTTTGGCCTGCTTTTGGAGGGGTTTTGGAATGCATAGTGTGAAAATTCCCGATTAAAGGAATTCGAATTACCAGAGTTCTAATAGGTACTGTATATATATGTACTACCTTATGAGGAGATAAGAAGCCGAAAAATCGCAAATATACTTGTACTGTAAATAACAATTTTTATACAGTTTTTCTTTAATGTTGTATAATGTTTATTAGTAGATTAGTAATAAAAACGCAGCCGTAAAAGTAGGTATGCACACAATTGGAAAATAAATGGGCCAAAGTTACTTACATGTTCGTAAAACATCTATCAGCAGTACTTCCTAGTGAAAAAGTGTAACTAAGATTAAAGAAGATGATCTTTAAATGCAGAACCATTGACGAGTAATTGGTGAAACCAAAGAAAGCCATGTACAACCTGAAAGGAAAACGACAATTTGTTTAATAAATGAGTGTAAGAGTATTAATAAATGAGATTATACAGAATTAGTTATTAACGTTATTCGAAATCCGTTCGATTGACAATAATTATTATTAATTGATATCAGAATTAATAAGTAAATATTGGTAGTCAACTTAATAAAAATTAGGACAATTAAGTTGGTCCCGAGCAAATAAATAATTTGTATAATTATGGTCTTTAGGGTATATTAACTTCATCGTAAGTCAGATAGGTTAGTAGGACACTTTCTCAGACATGAAAGACTAATTAGAGACATATTAGAAGCAGAAACAGGAGTTAAGAGGAGTAGAGGTATACCTATATACTCCTCACAAATACTTAAGGAAGTGGGATGTTCTAGTTTTAGGGAAATACGAAGATTAGCTCAGGATAGGAAGGAGTGGAGGTGCGTGTCCAACCAGTCTTAAGACTGACGACTTTATGACGATGATGATGATGGATTAAACTTATCCAACTATTTATGTATTTGCGCTAGTACTTTTTATAAAATCGTATAATAAAATACATATTTCTAGGATATTGCAAAATTACCGAAACTACATAAAAAAATACGTTACATTGTCTGCTGAATTTAAAAAGCCTATTAGCTACACGATATTTCTATAACAATAAATCAAATTCGTATTTTATCATTGGCAGAGTTTTTAAAAAATCATATAACATTCCTGATTAACAGTCCTTCCTAAGTAAAGTAGAAACCAATATTCCAATAAATCAAATTCATTGTTTGTGGGAACGTATTTCCTTTAATGCTTGTGATGGTTTATTATTTAGCCCCTGGGATGTTTTGGTGTTTTAAACGAACTGATTATTCAGCTGGTTATAGACCGAAATTTTCAAATATTTTATTATCCATAATGACCAATTATACCGAATATAATTATTAGGGATATGTTGTACCTGGATTATTATTAACGTGGAATATAATCATATTTTGTTTTGCTGGAGGGCTGGTTTACGAACAAAGCTTTGTGAGGACGTTGTTTTCAAAGGGAAATAAAAAATTAAATTTTAAAGTCACTTTTTAGAATCGGTGCCCATTAACAAATTGAACTACGTGCGTATTTTTATGTTAGTACATTTAAATTTCTGTTTTTTCGTTTGCTACATTTTGTAGAATAAACAACAAATTCTGTTGAAGCCCTGGACCATTCTGTTTTATTCCATTAAAATGCATTAAGCATTTATTCTATTGTATATTAATCAACCGGTAACAATTTTTGAAAGACTGATTAAAGATTAAATTTTTCATTTTCTTTGTTTGTCAAAAATGAAGCTAGAAAATAAAGTCACAGTCAGAACCCGCTTGTAGTTAGAACGCGTTTTCTCCAGTTAAAACTAATTTATGCATATTGCTTTTGTTACAACTATAATTACTTAGTTATAACTAGAATTTACTGCTAAACATATTTGAATTTTATGTATAACTAACTATACATGTTACCAGGGCTTTTGTGGGTGAAAAGGTGGAAAGGGATTGGACACCTTGCAGGGTCATTTAAAATTTAAATACTTTAAGTCAATTTACAGTGATTAAAAAATACATAAAGGAATATAAACAAACAGTACAAACAAGCTCTCTTCAGTCATCCTCATCATCAATATCACAGATAAAAAATAGAAGTCCAAATATAGGCAGTGTACCGCCATCTGGTGGATATTTGCCGCTACTGAAGTATTTCAAAATTTTACTAAAGTATATTGTTGTTACTGCTGTTAAAACCAGAAAAGACCTAAATCGAGATAGACAATCGGAAGTAGTAGATAATGAGTTTTAGTTTGGTGTTGTTTCATGTTCGACCATGAGGTTTACAAAACAGGAACTGGGTGTGGCCCACCGTTCGCATGCCCCCGCCCCTGTATATTACCATTTATACCATATTGTTATCATTCCTAGCTTCTACGTGACTTCTTCATTGATAGATTTATACGTATTCCTATATCGTTAATAATGCTTTATTTATTTTGTTTATTTTTAAATTTCATATTGATCACTTTTATTCTGCAATCTAATGATAACATTTTGAATATGGACCACGTCTAGCATGGAAGATAGAAGGACCAAGAGGAACCAAATTTTTTAGGCAAAGCCAGCGGGCATTCGTAGAAATGAAACACAATTGCGGTAACTGAATTAATTATAAATTTAATGAAGCACATACTATAGGAAATAAATAGAGATTGTTCTACAGTTCCGAAGAATACCTTTTTAATTGAAAAATCAATTAATTTAGCGTATTGACGAAATTGAGACTCAATCAACGACTATTTTCGCGTACAACAATTTTTGGCTGTTAATTAGCAACAACGATCGGAACGAAACGCGTTAAAGTAATTAGACAGAGCGTCACAATTTGTAAATTCCCGAGAGTGAACAGCCGGAGCCATGGAAGTTACCACCTCAACAATACGTTCGGCAAAAAGCAGATCAAAATTATCATGGCCGCGCAGGAATTTCCCGAGGGAAATCCCAAAATCAATAGTCATGTTCTTCAATTGACCAGACTTTCTGTCAATGATTTTGAATTATCGCCATTTTCCAATCCGCCTGGATAATTCGTCTTCTTCATTAATTTGTCAGCCGTATACATAAATATTTTGATGCAATGCGAGACGTAGTATTTAAATCAGCGAAATAACTCCATTTAAAAACAAGAGTAATGGACGTTCTACTCCCCCGTACTTTGTATTTCCCAAGGGACGTCTTGCTTTTTAAGTCTTTTGTGCTTTCCATTCATTCATTCCATATCCATTTTCTATTCACGCTTCGCTACTTGTCGCAGTGTCGCCTTGGAATTGCCAAAAAAGCTCCAACTCAACAGTGGAACGAATTATGTTATCATCGGGGATTTATAAGATATAAGCAAAACAAGAGTTACCTAAAATGAGCCCATTATAAGGGACCTTATACAATATATCATTAAATAAATATTAGACGTTGGTGAATGTTACACACACAACACTAACTAGAACTTTTATCTTCAATCTGAAAACTTCAAAGAAAACCTTTTATTTTTCTACCCATTAGCCCGTTTGTAAATGTCTCCTTACTCGTAGGTAATACTTGGAAGAGGAAACTTTTGAAATTTCCCAGATAACAAATTCCTTTGAATCGAAACTAGGAACTGTATTGAAAATTTGATAGAATATCATCTCTCTGAATAAGAAAAATAGAAAATGGTTACCTAGCAAGACTTATATATATCTTACTAACCTATATGAGACATTACTTCTTACAATTACAGTACAATATGACCTTTTTCCAACTATTGCGTTACGATTAGTGATTTATATTCACTAAAGAAACTTAAAAGTTACAACCATACAGTTAATGTTCAACCCCAGCACCATGTAATTTTAAAATCTACTTAGTTTTGACTTTTTGTATAGAGAATCCATTTCATCACAACTTGAACACAACGCCAAAATTTCTCAGTAGATATGCATTTTATTGTGAGCGAGCGCCTCGTGCAGCGATCGATACCGCGAGACATTTGTAACTTTGATGTTGAGGCAACACAAAACTGCGCGATAAAAGAAAGTGATGAGAGTCATACCGGAAACATTCAAAAACTGTGTATAAACGTCTACTGATCACAATAGTATGAGAATTTTTAGGGTTCCGTACCAAAGGGTAAAACTCTATTACTAAGACTCCGCTGTTTGTCTGTCTGTCACCAGGCTGTTTCTCATGACAATTGAAATTTTTACAGATGAAGTATTTCTGTTGCCGCTATAACAACAAATACTAAAAATATAATAAAATAAATATTTACATACAACAAACGTGATTTTTTGCTCGTTTTTGCTCGATATTGACAACGGCAACAGGTAGACGCTTGAAATATTCACAGAATATTGAGGTATATTATTATAGATAATCGTATGGAACCTTTCGTGCGCGAGTCCAATTAGCAATTGACCGGTTTTTATAAATGATATCTACCGTCGATTTTCTTTATGTAAATCTAACATTTTGTGAACGACAATTGTACCACTGGATTTTTGAGTAGAACTTAATGTTGTTTTCGTGAAATTACTATTGAAATTGCGTAGTCTAAAATTCAAAAGAAAACATAAAGAAAATCTTCCTGTTCTTCATCTGTTCTTGATTATGATAAAGATTATAAACGAGCAGTGAGAAGCAGTTTAATTATTAGAGAGCTTTTCTAATACAAACTATATATTATCACTATACATGTAATAGCGCTCCAAAATGCATTTCTAAAATCCCCAAGGGAACATTATAACTAATTAAACGCTTTTCTTTTTTGTATCAGCTCGAGCTTTTATCTAATGAAAAAGCAGTAAACGTAAAATTTAAAGTGTAAAAAGAGAGAGCGCCGCACGATCAGCATGTTCTAGAATGAAAAGAAGATAGTGGGCTTTTATCAGAAGTGACATTTTTTTATTTCCCTTACGCCCTAATTTATAGTGCAATGAGTGCTAGGCAACTTTAAAGTAAAGGTATACAGGGTTACTTGGAAGTAGCGGATAACCTTTTAAACACGTGAGGAAGATCTCAGGGCCATTTCCATTTATCATTAAAAATATGAGTATGAAAATTCAATTTTATGATTCCATCATCAACGGTTTTCTAGGCATAGCCACCATCACATCTTATCCATGTGCCTACAGGGCAATACGCTCAGTACGTCGAAAAATTGGTGATATTTAAGTAAAAATTCCGATTAAACGGTAACATCCTGAATATCGAAAATAGGCTCAAGGTGTTCTTTAATTAATCGTCTTAAATACCTACAGAAAATCCCAGGACCATTTCCATTTATTAGTGCAAATATGATTATGAAAATTTAACTTTATGATTCCGTCAGCGGCCCCTTAGTCCCCACCATATCTTATCTAAGTGCCTAAAGGACAATACGTTCAACACATTAAAATATTGGTGATTTTTATTTAAAAATTTCCGATTAAACGACAACATTCTGGATATT